TGAGTGTGTATGTGCGTGTATTTGCGTATGTGTGTGTATTTGTGAGTGTGTATGTATGTATGTGTGTATGTGTGAGTATGTGAGTATGTGTGTGTGTGTATTTGTGAGTATGTGAGTATGTGTGTATATGTGAGTATGTGAGAGTGTGCGTGTATTTGTGAGTGTCTATGTGTGTGTATGTGAGTGTCTGTGTGTGTGTATATTTGTCAGTGTGTATGTATGTGTGTATTTGTGAGTATGTGAGAGTGTGTGTATTTGTGAGTGTCTATGTGTGTGTGTATGTGAGTGTGTATGTATGTGTGTATGTGAGTGTGTATCTGTGTGTGTGTGTATTTGTGAGTATGTGAGAGTGTGTGTGTATGTATGTGAGTGTGTATGTGAGTGTGTATGTATGTGTGCATGTGAGTGTGTATCTGTGTGTGTGTGTATTTGTGAGTGGGGAGGGGTTGTTTGCGCACTGCGCTCCGATGGAGTTCAATTCCTGACCATCTACAGCAGCGCTGGCACGCGCTATCTGAACCTGTACTGGGTCGCCTCTAGGTCTACGCAACCTTAAATTGGCGTAGCTGCTCACTACCCTACCCCATCGGGTGCCGTGTTAGCCTTAATAGGTGATCGCTAACAGCACTTGGCCCACTAGTCTGCCCAGCCTTTCGGGAGGGTTTCAGTCTTTGTATATGTGTGCATCTGTTTGTATGTCTATAATAATTAATAATTTCCAGCCCTGGCAGTCCAAGGCAGTCCAAAATTGGATGAATGAAGGCCTCCCCGCACGTCATGTTAGTCATGGGGGGGGGGGGGGTGGTGGTGGGTTTGACCATACTTCACCACGTTGGTAAGTTGCGAGTTGGTGACGGGAGAGGCCTTGCCGTTGATATGTGAGCTGTGGTCAGGAATAGAACTCAGAACGGCGGGGTTCATAGCGCAGTGTGCTAACCAACGTACCACCGCTCCCCGTGTGCACATATCTGAGTGTGTGTGCGCATCTGAGTGTATGTGTGTGTATCTAGATCATCTGTTTTTCCGACACGTTACATCACGCAGGATAAGCAATTCTGTCTCAAAAACGTATCGGGTATACATAATTATGTAACACGACTTTCGCCTTCTTTGTGTCTTTCGGTTAAGTCACGGAGATAGGTTCAAATTAATAAAAATAAAATAAGCAAAAAACAACGACGTTTCGATCACAACACAAGCGATCGTCACCTGATAATTTGAACCTATCTACGTTACTTTACCGAAAGACCCAAAAAATATGAATTCCTGCAGTCACGAAAGCTTTAAGTCAAGATTTAATGGTGTTTGTCCCGGAAGTAGTAAGTGTTATTTTCTAATAGATTTTCCCTAAAAAGCATAGAAAATGGCTATTATTCCACACAAACTTTGATTTTGTGACCAGGACTTTATGTAAAGGAATGACACAAATGCACACCACGTTTTTTCATTGAAAATATGTACATTTCAAAATATCACTGTCCTGGTCACAAAAGCAAAGTTTGTGGAGTATAATAGCCACTTTCTGTACTTTTGAGGCATAAGCAATAAAAAAAAACACTTACTACCAGGGACAAAAAACTATTTTCGTTACACATTTAATCATTCAAATATTATATTTAAAAACAACATTCAAACTCGTATTCAAATATCTAAGTATATTGCACGTATAGAATGCTCACCGAGGACTTTGTGTGTATCTTCAAGGCTAAACGACAAATATCTTGGGGAGGTGAGAGTTGTGTGTGTGGGGGGGGGGGGGTAGAGATACGCAACCATCGTGGAGATGGAACGGTGGAACGGGCTTGCGGTGCCAGGTGCTCCAGATTCATCGAGATGGATAACTGTCACATCGGGATACCGTGAGAGATTGGAAGCGTTCATCTAGCAGTGGATAGACCATGCTTGATGATGATGATGAAGCGTCGAGATACATTTGCGAAGAGTTAAGTGTGGTGCCCACTGTGCACGTGATTTCGGAAGTCAACTTATTTTGCAGAATCCTGCATTTCAGACATTTTTTGGCGACAAATTTAGCCCATCAGCCAAGAGGCTTTGGTGGTCAGTATCACCCATGGGCAGCGTCACCCATGGCCAGTGTCTCCCATGGGCAGCGTCACCCATGGCCAGTGTCTCCCATGGGCAGTGTCTCCCATGGGCAGTGTCACCCATGGGCAGTGTCACCCATGGGCAGTATCACCCATGGGCAGTATCACCCATGGGCAGTGTCACCCATGGGCAGTGTCACCCATGGGCAGTATCACCCATGGGCAGCGTCACCCATGGGCAGTGTCTCCCATGGGCAGTGTCACCCATGGGCAGTGTCACCCATGGGCAGTATCTCCCATGGGCAGCGTCACCCATGGGCAGTGTCTCCCATGGGCAGTGTCTCCCATGGGCAGTGTCACCCATGGGCAGTGTCACCCATGGGCAGTATCTCCCATGGGCAGTGTCTCCCATGGGCAGTGTCACCCATGGGCAGTGTCACCCATGGGCAGTATCTCCCATGGGCAGTGTCACCCATGGGCAGTGTCACCCATGGGCAGTATCACCCATAGGCAGGAAACCTCGTGTAAGTTCCGTTTGCTGTATAGATACTCTTGCTAATTAATTGTCATCTTCCTGTCAGTTAAATTTGTTTTCCCAAAATGATAGCTACCGCCAATGACCTCTATCTCGTACACAGCAATCACCGTGACCTTGGCATCATATATAGGTATAATTTCCTGATATAATTATTGCAGAACATCATTTGTCGCATTTGCCCCCCTCGGTGATACCTATGCGCATGTGTTACCGTATTATTAGAACTAGAAGACGTTCTGGAAAGTGAGACGCATCCCCAAACGTGTGCCCGGTGTCAATAAAGTTCTTCAAATTCGGTCACACACAAAGACGAAGATCCCCCGTATAGCCTTAGCAGACTGTTGGGGCAAGTGCTTCTAGCGAGCACCTATGAAAGCCGGCACGGCACACGAGGGGGTGGGTGGCCAGCACTACGCCCGGTCGCCTTTGTCTCCCAAGTGGCGATGTTTACACACCGCACCAGGAACTCATTTGAGGCTGAGCGGACCTATAGGAGGCCCACGACCGGTTTATATAATCGTCATTGGTGTTGGCGCGTGATCGGGAATCGAACTCGGGTCGCCGGCTTCGTAGCTCCCCTACACACACACACGGCTACCGGATTATAGGATGCGTTTGGTAATCGGGAGAATACGGCAATCGTATTCCGGGCGGGGACGTGCGCGTTTTGAGTGCGAGTGGGTAGCGGAGTGTGTAGGGGTGAAGTGTTGGGAAGAACACGCAGATTCAATTAATTCACGTGCGTTTCGATATTAATTAACTTTTAAGATTCATAGCCAGAGGCAACACAAACAAATTATTTTAACATCCAAATTGGATCGTCACGGTTAGTTGTAACTTGCACTTTCAATCAGAGAAAGTTGAATAATTCGCAAATTATTATCACGAACGGACAGAGTTTTCCCCCCATTAACTTTTGCAGGTACAGTTATTAGATCTATCTAAACATATGAAATCCCATTAGGGAATGAGATAATTGTTTTTTTTATCTCACAACGTTGGTGAACCGCTCCAATGTTCATCGTGACATCGTTTACGGCCCTCTCTGTTAATCACAGCGGGCGAACGCTGCTGCGGCTGAATGCGCTATACACGACAACAGCAGGTCGCGTTGTTACCCATTCTCTTTCGCTTTTTGTTTCGCGATTATTTCAACGCCGACTCGATAATATTCATCCCCGGCCACCCTCTTGATTCCAGGGCAAGGTCACGACACTTGTTTGGCACCTCGGCACCACACGCTGTGACTTTTATGCACCGCTTTGAATAAAATGTGAAAATTGGCCACGTGGGTGTATTCTTTTTTCCTTCCCGTCTCTCTTCGTTGGTGGACGATGTGATGTGGAGTTTGACAGCTGGGGATTTGAGAGAGAGATGAAGGAATAACTCGTGGCGAGTGCTGGCTAAACATCGAGAGAGTTTATGCACAGACTCATACAGAGACTAAAGACAATTTCAGCCGCGGTGGTATAACGATCGGTAGTAGGTCATGCGATGTGTACGATATTAATTATTGACAGCCCTCTTTGTCAAAATCCACTGCCGGATTGACCTTCCCACACGCCGTGTCGATAATTGGCAGGTTTGTTTGACCATACTTCACCACGCTGGTCAATGCGGCTTGGTGAAGAGGAGGGCAGGTCGTCCCAGGATCGGTTGAGATATTGCTCACCAATGATGTTAGCCGTGGCCGGGTATTGAACTAAGGATTTCGGGTTGTTAGCGCGATGCACTAACCACTGCGCCACCGCTCTACAACATAATACGCGTTTATACATTCACTAAGGTGTGCATTTATTAACAATGAGACGGGTGTAAATTAAGCCTCGGGTGACACGTGTAAGATACAATCGTCCAAAGTTACGCAAACATCAGACGGGAGTTCGGCGTTATAAACATTTCAATCACACGAGAGTGAAGCAGCGGAGCCTGGTGTAGAATCTCGATGCGCTCTGAGCGAGCCTCAGGAGAGTGGCATCTCTCAGCGGGGGCCACACCCTGCTGATGAGAGCCACATAACCAAAAACAAAACCTTCCCATTAAGTGCGTCTGCACCAAAAAAAAAGATGTTTTACGCAACATTCTGCTGGACGACACGTTTGGTTCAGTCGGTTCCAGAGTTGATGTCGTGGAGATTTCCATTTCTTCGTCAAATTGCCACTGATGGCGTGCGGGGGGGTTGCGGGGAGGAGGAGGGGTGGGGGAAGGCTCTCACACAGCAGTGGATTGACAAAGGTCATTGCGTACACGCGCATCATACTTTGTGCCTGCTAGAACGATGACACACCGACCCTTTTGGCTGAATCCCGACAACGACGATGTTAAGTCTGGGGCATGGGGAACACAGTTTTGGCTGCGCGTCGGATCGGCAAGTCCGGACGAGCTTCGTGGGGGTGGGGGGGTGTTGGTGCTTGTACCTCGGGGTTGGCAGCGCGACTCTGCGTGAAGGGTTGCCCGCCCGGGTGGCCGCTTCTTCAAGGCCACTGCGGAGTCGAGCCGCTGGCGAGCTGCTGACCGCCCGACTCGCGTTCCGGGTTTGGTATCCGCATCGTCGCAGCCGTCGCGGCCGCCACTTGCGTGGGGGTCTCGGTTGTGGGGGTCTTCATCAGCAGCAGCAGCAGCGGAGGCAGCAGCATCTTCGAACGGGGAACTTCTTCTTCTTCGTGGAGGGGCGATGCGGCTGTGCCGTGGAGGCTCAACCGAACAGCGGCCAAGTGTTCGGCTCCGTCACTTTGTTTTCGCACGTGTGAGTGTGTGCGAGAGAGCGCGCGCGTGTGAGTGTGCTTCGGACGCTCTCTGGGTTCCACTGTGAAAGCCGCAGTCCGTTTAAACACGTTAAATTGCCTCTTGCACGCACCCTCCCCTCCCACCCAGCCCCTCCACCCCCATCCAAACCTCACCAATCCCACCAACGACTCCTCCCCGTACACACACGCGCACACACACACGCGCGCATCGCACCCGTGGCTCACTTGCCCCCACCTCCCTACCACCACGCCACTCACCCTGCTGCCCCCACCTCTCCTCACTCCACCCACCTCGTACTCACCCGTGATGCTGACCGACAGTATTGCAGGCTACACTCGACAGCAGGCCCACTCACAAAGACAAAGATCCCCAGTATAGCCTTAACAGATTATTGGGGCAAGTGCTGTAAGCGAGTATAAAGGGCTGCAAAGGCACACGAGGGGGTGGGTGGCCAGTTTTACGCCCGGCCGTCTTTGTCTCATCCGTCGCGACGTTTACTCACCGCGCCGTGTACTTATTTGAGGCTGAGTTGACCTAGGGGATACCCGCAACCGGTTCAGATAATCGTCACCGGTGTTGGCCGTGAGTTCGAAACGAACTCGGGTCGCCGGGTTCCTAGGTCAGCGCGCTAATCGCTACACTCCTTCTCCCCACTTACAAATACAAAGATCCCCCATATAGCCTTTGACATATTGTTGGGGCAAGTGCCGTTAGCGACCACCAATGAAGGTCAGCACCACACACAAAGATAAAGACAAAGACCCCCCGTATAGCCTTAACAGACTGTGGGGGCAAGTTCTGTTAGTGAGCACCTATGAAGGCCGGAACGGTACACGAGGGGGTGGGTGGCCAGCACCACGCCCGACCGCCTTTGTCTCCCCAGTGGCGATGTTTACTCACCGCACCAGGTACTCATTTCAGGCTGAGTCGACCTAGGGGAGGCCCAGGACCGGTTAGGATAATCGTCACTGGTGTTGGCCGTGAGCGGGAATCGAACCCGGATCGCCGGGTTCATAGCGCAGCGCGCTAACCGCTACCCCACCGCTCCCCACCACACACACACAATCACACGCACGCGCGCAGTCGCACGCACGCGCACACTCAGCCAATTGCAGGGGTGTTGGAGTGCCTGTAGAGTATCTGTCGCTCAAAATATCGGGCCCGTGAATGCCCCACCTGCTCTCGCCACTCCGTGAGCGGCACCACAGCAGATCCGCGGCGTCTACCTCATCGCCTCTCCATAAATTGCATTTTATTAATTATTATTTTTAATAATTAAAAAATGTGCACGCGTAGTGTCTTTTCATGTCACCCTCTTAATTTATTTATTTTCTGTAACTGTGTTTTTTTGTTTCAATTATTATTTATAGATCATTCCTCCCCTCCCCTCCTGTCTGCCAACTTTATTCTCACTCTTCGCGGTCGTGTTCACGGCAAGGGTTCGTGGTTTGCGGGCCCATCCATGTCCTGCGTGATCGCGGTTTCAATCTCTCGCAAAAAAAAAGAGAGATTCGCTCGCGTCTCTCTCGGTACCGCGGCATCTCCCTCGTTAACCGCGCTCTGTTGTTGTTGTCGTTGTTGTTGTTGTTGTCGTAATGCGGCGTGACACGCAGGCCGTTACCCACTTCACACGCGTCCAACGTTCGAGGTGCGTCTTACTTTCTGGAGCGTCTTAGAATCAGGTCAATAGGTCGTCGTCGTCGTCATTAAAATGTCTCTTTGAGATACTGTCCCTCTCTCTCTCTCCAGTTTTGTAACGGGTTCTCTCTCGCTCCGTCTCCTCCCGCGGCTCCCCTCTGTGCAGAGAGGCGTCCTCACTTCTAAACTTATCCCACCCCCCCCTGCCCCCGTGCGCATCGCAAACAGCTGCCCCTGGCTGTCCGTCTGTCCCACTCACCCCCTGCTGACGAAGCACATCTCTTCGGCTTCGGTTTCACGGCATCTGAAACCACACGCATGCCCTTTGAGCACTGCTCTGAATAGTGGTCGCAGTGGTGATGGTGGTTGGTGGTTGGTGGTGGTGCTGGTCGTGGTGGTCGTGGAGGTGATGGATGATTTTCCCATGATCTCACAGTCACATGGCTCTAGTCTCTCAGCCACCGACCGTGGTGGCGGTGATGGTGGTTGGTGGTGGTGGCAGTGGTGGTGGCAGTGGTGGTGGAAGTAATGCAGCAAATCTGGCTGTGACGGTCCCACCTGATGACGGAGACTTGTGTTGCCTCCGAAACGTCGTGATTTTTATTGTTTTATTTTTATTAATTTATATTTCATGTTTTACCTACGTGACTTTACCGAAAGAACTAAGAGTATGAATCCTTGCAGTCACGAAAGCTTCAAATCTAGAATTAAAGGATGTAATACTACTGGTGCTGGTGGTGATGATGGTGGTGGTGGTTTTCTGCGTGGGGGAGCTGTTGCTGAGGGCTCTGGGCACGAGGCGGCTGAGTGGAGCTGCGTGGATGCGCCGAAGGGATGGGGCACAGGGCGACTGAGCTTAAAACGCGTGGGACATGGGTTCGGAATCCAAGCGCAGATTACGTGGAACCGTTGAAACCACCGCTCGGCTAGAGCGTCTGTGTTTTAGCTTCACTCATTTCGATCACGTTACACATTCAACGAACCGTAGCTTGTACGTTCACAGAACTACATAATATGCGAGCATACTTGTGTTGCGCATAATGTGTAATGTCATATTCCATAGAGGCTGTTTTCAATTGTTGGTCTGGTTGGTTATGGTTAGGTGCACAGCGAATACTATCGTGTCTGGATAGTTGGTTAGGGTTAGGGATGGAGTTAGTACTAGTGACTGGCTATAGTTGGTGAGGGTTTGGGATAGAGTTTGTACTAGTGACTGGCTATAGTTGGTTAGGGTTAGAGATGGAGTTAGTACTAGTGACTGGCTATAGTTGGTGAGGGTTTGGGATGGAGTTAGTACTAATGACTGGCTATAGTTGGTGAGGTTTTGGGATGGAGATAGTACTTGTGACTGGCTATACCTGGTTAGGGTTAGCGGTAGTGTCTGGCTGGCTCATTGTTTGGGGCCAGGGGTGGTGAGAGCAGCATTTGATTGCCGATCGTAGCTGCACCCCCCCCCCCAACAACCCAGTCGCCCCCCCCCCTCGCCCCTCCGTCCCTTCTCGCGATCGCTTCTCGTCGCCTTCCTCATGCGCCTCGGCGTCAGCGCAAATTTCGGCCAAAAACACAGAGAGGAGGAGGAAGAGGAGGAGCAGTTCTTGTCCTCTAAGTGTGAGCACCCAGATGACGCGCACACGTTACAAGTGACCCAGGACACGTGTGTGAATGTTAGCTTGTGTCTATGTGTGCGTGCATGTTTAGGTCGAATCAGCCTAAAATGAGTACCTGGTGCGGTGTATAAACATCGCCACTGGGGAGACAAAGGCGGTCGGGCGTGGTGCTGGCCACTCACCCCCTCGTGTACTGTTCCGGCCTTCATAGCTGCTCGCTAACATCACTTGCCCCTACAGTCTGTTAAGGCTATACGGGGGATCTTTATTTTTGTCTTTGTGCATGTCAGTGTGTATCTATATGTGTGTGCATGTTAGTGTGTGTCTATGTGTGTGTGTATGTCAGTGTGTGTCTATGTGTGTGTGAGTTTGAGTCTATGTGTGTGTGTATGTCAGTGTGTGTCTATGTGTGTGTGTGCATGTCAGTGTGTGTCTATGTGGGTGTGAGTTTGAGTCTATGTGTGTGTGCATGTCAGTGTGTGTATGTCAGTGTGTGTCTATGTGTGTGTGAGTTTGAGTCTATGTGTGTGTGTATGTCAGTGTGTGTCTATGTGTGTGTGCATGTCAGTGTGTGTCTATGTGGGTGTGAGTTTGAGTCTATGTGTGTGTGCATGTCAGTGTGTGTCTATGTGTGTGTGCATGTCAGTATGTGTCTATGTGGGTGTGAGTTTGAGTCTATGTGTGTGTGCATGTCAGTGTGTGTCTATGTGTGTGCATGTCAGTGTGTGTCTATGTGTGTGTGCATGTCAGTGTGTGTCTATGTGGGTGTGAGTTTGAGTCTATGTGTGTGTGCATGTCAGTGTGTGTCTATGTGTGTGTGCATGTCAGTGTGTGTCTATGTGGGTGTGAGTTTGAGTCTATGTGTGTGTGCATGTCAGTGTGTGTCTATGTGTGTGTGCATGTCAGTATGTGTCTATGTGGGTGTGAGTTTGAGTCTATGTGTGTGTGCATGTCAGTGTGTGTCTATGTGTGTGCATGTCAGTGTGTGTCTATGTGTGTGTGCATGTCAGTGTGTGTCTATGTGGGTGTGAGTTTGAGTCTATGTGTGTGTGCATGTCAGTGTGTGTCTATGTGGGTGCGAGTTTATAGTCTATGTGTGTGTCAATGTCTTTCTTATGTGTGTGTGTGGCAGTGCGTGAGTGGTTGTATGTGAATGGGGGAGTGTAGCGGTTAGCGCGCTGCGCTACGAACCCGGCGACCCGAGTTCCAATCCCGTTCACGGCCCAACACCGGTGACGATTATCTGCACCGGTCCTGGGCCTCCCCTAGGTCGATTCAGCCTCAAATGAGTACCTGGTGGTGTGATGTGTAAACATCGCCACTAGGAAGACAAAGGCGGCCGGGAGTGGTGCTGTCTGCTCTCCTCGTTCTTCACAGGTGCTCGCTAGCAGCACTTGGCCCAACAGCCTGTGAAGGCTACCCCGGGGATCTTCGTCTTCGTGAGATGCGTTACGCTGAACACGAAGCGCCGCTAGTTGGGCTGTAATCGCGTCCGCAGATGTCGCTATAAATCCACTCGTGTTGGCCGTGCCCAGATATAGATACTTGAAGACCTTTCCGTCTAGGTTTTCACGTTGACGCCCGGCTTTAAACGAGTACAACTAAGATCACGGGGAGTCGTGGCACAGCAGTTAGCGCACTGGGTTCAATTCTCGGGCATGGTCAACGTCGGTGGAGACGGATTACTGATCCGGATCTGGACCTCCGCTGGATTAGATCGGCCTTCAGTGAGTACCTGCTGCCCCCATGTGTAAATACCACCACAGGGAAGACAAAGGCGGTCTGGCGTGGTACTGCATGGCA